GCCTTGAATGGCACCTGGTCTACCGTAGAATGAAATGGTCACCTACTGCGAGAAAAAGTCTGCTTCGTCAGTCATGTATCGAAATACATGTGCCTAAGCGTGTATGACGTATGGGACATGGCTGATTTACCGGAAATGAATAGTGGGTCCTTTTCCACAATGTTAAATGGAGGAAGTGGCTTCGTTGTAGTGGAAAGCCTGCTTAACAACAAGAGCAGCACTGCATCCAAGAAAGATTCTTTGGAATTTATTATGAAATATGAAAACAATCGTTTATTGCTGTTTATTAAGCGATAACCAAGCAACCATAGCTGAAGATTGCTGCCAACATTTAAAGAGTTTAAATTTAACTTTGGCAAAAAGAAAAAAGAAGATATTTAATCTTTAGAAAAAAAAAGTATTATCCTTAATCTTGATAATTCCCGACCACATTGTTTGGGAAAAATACGTCACCTATCCTATTCCCTGGGCATCGCTCGTTCCGATTGTCATCTATTTAGAAAGTTGCAAAGCTATTTAAATAAACTTCACAAACTTCAAGAGGAAAAGGTGGAAATGAGTTTTTCTATTATTTCAGTTGAGAACCTAAAGAATTTTATACACTTTGTATTAAAAAGCTGGTTGACAGCTGGTATCAGGTTACTGAAAACAATGGACATACTATTCGTGATAATATGCGTGTCTGTCAACTCCTATTTAATATTATTTGTAATAGAACTAATCGTGCAGAACCTTCGATACGATTCTATATGAAGAAATATAAAAAATAAGATAAAAATAAATGCTTCGGGAAATAAAATTAGAAAAGAAACAGACATAAAATAAGTACGTATATAGCTAAACAAAGAAACATGCATATCATTAGAAACAAAGAAAAGCTTACTGAAGATTTACGTAATATCAGTCCTCTTATATGGCTATGAATACCGAACGATCGATGAATAGATGAAGAGACGTGAAACAACTGAAATGTCGTTATACAGAAGGATGCTGGGAATACCATGGACCAAAATATAAAATAAATATAAAAAAATGTATTCGGGAATGAAAATGAGAAAGGAAAATATTTAATAAAATAAGTATGTATATAGATATAATGATATGTAAAGAGAATTGTAGTAATAAAAAAGAAAACTACAGGCTGTCCGATTTGAAGTAAATAAAGACAAACGCAAAGAAAAACTATGTTGAAATATACAAAATAACAATAATAATGTAAATATTAGCCATTTTCTTATATGGAAGTATTCGGTATTATATTATGTTCAATTTCCTTATCGCCTGCACCAAATTAATTATAAAACGTATTAGTATATATTAATTCTTCATCCTGTAATTTTGTGATGAATTTAGGCTATGAGACATCATTGGTTTCATTTCAACTCCAGATCACAGCTTATGTCTGGAAATTTTTATCTCGAGTCCTTTTCTTGGAATACTTGGTCAAGAATATTGATTTTTTGATCCAGATATGAATACCTACGTCATCAGCATGACATCCTCCTTGACCACCAGTACGTTTGCCATGGAATGGGAAAGCAGGATTATTGTTTAATTTTATTAGATTCTTTTGGGTGTAGTATGAAATGCTTAAATTATCAGTACCCGTCTCTTCACATCTGTGCTTGTATATACGCAGAAAATAGTCTACGAAGACTGCAGCTCTCACTTGATTCTTGCACTTCGGATGAGGTCTAAAATGATTCGTTATTCGGGTATTCACCATAAGATAAACGAAAAGGAAGTACTAAACATATAAATAAATAAGGATGTAAAATGGTGGTTGTAATATAATGTGGGTTAACAAGTGAATCTTGTAAACAACTCGCTTGTATAATGAATATGGTTTTTACTAATTGCACCATCATTACGGCTATGTGCGCAGTTTCGTAAATATTTGCTCCAAGTGCAGAACACTTACGCCATGTCATTCTCTGTGAATAAACAGAATACTGGAAATGCAGCAATAAAAGCCATCAAAATCACAGTCGATGATAGCATAGTGGGTGAAAGCGGATGTTGGATTGGTATAGAAAAGAAACATATTTCGGTTGTAGATAGATGCATGTTTCTCGTTGGTACCAGTGGCTAGGTGGCTCCACTTGAAAAGCTGTTTCCGCACAATGTGTCAGCCATTAGACCGTACTCACTCAAGCTTGTTGAATCTTAATAAAAAGGAGAAATAAAAAGAAAATATAAGAAATAAAATTTGAATGTACAAGTAGAAGAGTGATTCTTCCTTTTCTACGTGTATATAATCATATTTTTACCTTAGTTTTCTGTTTCGCTTGTGACAAAGAGATGAAAAAAAAGAAGTAGAAGCAGGAGATGAAAGAAGAAAAAGGAGGAGGAGGAAGAAGAACTAGAAGAAAAAGAAGAATAGGAAGAAGATGAAGAAGAAAAAGAAGAAAATGTAAAAGAAGAAGAAGAAGAAAATGAAGAAGAGGTACAAGAAGAAATAGAAGCAGAAGAAGGAGTGGAAGAAGAAGAACTAGAAGAAAATGAGAAGAAAAAGGAAGACGAAGAAAAATAACAAAAAGAAGAAGAGGAAGATAAGGGAGAAGAAGGAGTGGAAGAAGAACTAGAAGAAGAATGAGAAGAAAAAGAAGTGGAAGACGATAAAGAATAACAAGAAGAAGAGGAAGATAAGGGAGAAGAAGAAATAATTGATTAGAAGAAGAAGAAGAAGAAGAAGAAGAAGAAGAAGAAGAAGAAGAAGAAGAAGAAGAAGAAGAAAGAGGAGAAAGAAGGGGAGGAGAAGTGGAAGAAAAAAGAAGAACTAGAAGAAAAAGAAGAATAGGAAGAAGATGAAGAAGAAAAAGAAGAAAATATAAAAGAAGAAGAAGAAGAAAAATGAAGAAGAAGAAATATAAGCAGAGGAAGGAGTGGAAGAAGAAGAAGATCTAGAAGAAAAATGAGAAGAAAAAGGAAGACGAAGAAAAATAACAAGAAGAAGAAGAGGAAGATAAGGGAGAAGAAGAGATAAAATAATTAGAAGAAGAGGAGGAAGGAGTGGAAGAAGAACTAGAAGTATGAGAAGAAGTGGAAGACGAAGAAGAATAACAAGAAGAAGAGGAAGATAAGGAAAGAAGAAATACAATGGGAAGAAGAAGAAGAAGAAGAAGAAGAAGAAGAAGAAGAAGAAGAAGAAGAAGAAGAAGAAAGAGGAGAAGGAGGGGGAGGAGAAGTGGAAGAAAAAAGAAGAACTAGAAGAAAAAGAAGAATAGAAAGAAGATGAAGAAGAAAAAGAAGAAAATGTAAAAGAAGAAGAAGAAGACGAAGAAGAAAATGAAGAAGGGACAGAAGAAGAAATAGAAGAAATAGAAGAAGAAGAAGAAGAAGAAGAAGAAGAAGAAGAAGAAGAAGAAGAAGAAAGAGTGGAAGAAGAAGAAGAACTAGAAGAAGAATGAGAAGAAAAGGAAGTGGAAGACGAAGAAGAACAAGAAGAATAGGAAAGTAAAGGGAGAAGAAGAAATGAAATAATAAAGAAGGAGATGAAGATAAAGCAAAAGAAAAATAAAATAATTAGAGGAAGAAGAAGAAGTGGAAGAAAAAAGAAGAACTAAAAAAAATAAGAATAGGAAGAAGATGAAGAAGAAAAAGAAGAGACAGAAGAAGCAGAAGAAGAAGAAGAAGAAGAAGAAGTAGAAGAAGAAGAAGAAGAACGATGATGATGAGGGGGAGTGGAAGAAGGAGAAGAACTAGAAGAAGAATGAGAAGAAAAAGAAGTGGAAGACGAAGAAGAATAACACGAAGAAGAAGAAGAGGACGATAAGGAAGAAGATGAAATAAAATAATTAGGAGAAGAAGAAGAAGAAGTGGAAGAAAAAAAGAAGAACGAGAAGAAGAAGAAGCAGAAGAAGACTGAATGAAAGGAGAAAAGAAAGAAAAATTAGAGGAAATAGAAAGTATTATAGACAAAGCAAATTTTACCCACGTATGCTATTCTCCTCCCTAACGTTTTAAAAGAAAACAAAACATAACAAGTAAAACAAATAAAAATCAGAGATACATATACGTTCATATCGATAATTTAGATATGGTGTTAGGGTGAGAAATATACGAGGAGAAACTGTTTGGTGACTTTTTACGCATGTCATTCCGTTCATTTTCAGCTTCTGAAAAAGCCAGTGGAAAAACACATCTCTCCCACTTGAAAGCCACACAATAGGCGATGATTTTAATTCGTTTCAGATTTATTTCTTCAAGATTTTGATTTTCTGTTTGTTTTTTGTTTTTTTTTACCTTGCACCAAGATTCACTTTTCACCTTCCTTGTATTCATGAAAAACTTCGCCATCCTTTCCTCATTTCCAGAAATAAAAAAATAAAAATAAAAAAAAATCACCATATTGGATTTTTTCCTCAATCGCGTTGCATTAAATCCAGTTAGATGACATCAAGTTAGCAGCCGCAGCAGCAGCTACTAAAATTCATATGATTTTCTCTTGGCAAATTCATCATTCACATTCAAGCTCAAAATTATTGATATATAATTTTCTCGTTTGGCTTCACTACGACAGACAGCTTTTATTGGTATAACGCAGACTATTGAATTACATTTTTCTCATCTACCTCATTCAAGGAGTCGGTGTCCGAGTCCAGATAAAAAAAAAAAAAGAATTTTGAATGCTGATTTTCTAGGTAGGTAAGCCAAATCCACGCCAAAGAAATAACAGAATCTTCCTTCCCATATTTTACCCAAACTTAGCCTTGAGCAGGAATAAGTTGAGCTTTGTAAATAACGATCAATTGATTGACTCGTTTTTTACGGCTTATCAACCCTTTTTAGGTTATTTAAAGCCAGAAAATATTTTTTTATACAGTCATCATTTTTGGCGGGGGAGATAATAATAATTTACTGATACAAATCTTACTAATTACCTCTGGGGGAAAAGATGTGGATTCATACGTTTAGCAAGGGTATTTGCGCGTAAGTGGAACTCGGTCTTTGATTAACAATTCAAAGCCATTACCCACTACTCTAGCCGCACATTCAAGCTTACAACACCTGGTATTACCAAGCGGTCACCCATCTAGGTACTGATCGAGCTAGACGTTGCTTATTTTCGGTGATCGTACGAGAACCTGTGTTTCAACGTGATACAGTCGTAAACCTGTAAATATCGAGACAGTACACTAGTAACTCTATTCGCAATATTATTTGTTTCCTTACAAGTAAACATCGGCCATTTAATGACCGAACAACCAGTGCTACTCTCGTTTAAAATTTATAAAATCTTCTATTGGAAGAATTTTTCAGAAAAAAAACTTTATAAAGTTTAACAACTGCTGTTTTAATATTATGTGGGGGTTTTCTTACTAGACTTTTGTTTGAAGTGAAACGTCAACATCGGGATTACGTCATGATTGTCTGTTTGAGTTACATGTTCTATCCATTTTAGTTGTTGCTGTTTCTGAAATCAGATGATGCAACTTCCGCCATTTTTTTTATAGTTCTTTGTGATTCTGTATCACAACTCCACAAGACTTGAAAACGAATTGTCCCCTGTAAGACTGTAATACGATATTTTTAACTAGAAATCTTCTGTATGCAGCTGTCAGTTTAGATATTTCTGGATGGATTTGAAGCCATGTATGGCATCCGGTCTGATGAAGCTATTTATGATTATTTATAAATATTTCGGTTTTGTAACAATTTGAGTGATGAACTGAAGTACCCCAAGCACTGGATACACTCTGTTCAATCTCCTTATCATTTATAATAAATTTATAATATCTAATGCATATGACGATACATTTGAAGTGTTTCGTCTTAACTAATTCCGCATCCTGAATCTTTATGATCGATTCAGGCCACATGAGAGCACTGCATCCATTCCAGCTACAGAGCTTAGTTGGGTTTATATTTGAATTATATTTCTTGAAACACTTCGTATAGTATACAGGTTGTTTGTTCAAGATAGTTCTTATTCCACTATGAATACCTATTTCATTGGTATAGTAACTCCACGGGATCAGTACACTGATCTCAGGCAGGAAAGCAATGAAGCTGTTTTCTATCAGTAGTTACATCGCATGGATGGTGTCTCACGAAATTTTAGTAACAGCTTCAGTTCTTACTAGCGTCTCTGTCAATATGTCTGAATTTCTACCTGAATTTATGGAATGAGAAGTTATCATTACTAACATTATTAACATCCAAACTAATCTCTCCATCTTTGCTGTTAGACTTTGGCCGTTGTGCTCCCTGCTATCTTCAGGTGTCTGTAGATCCGATTAATGGATAACGGGTTCAGCTCGAAATTCCATGAGAGTTAGCAAGATCGACACACGCCTGAAGAAGGCTGTCAGGCGGAACGGTCGAAGCATTTTGATAAGAATAAGAAAGATGATGTAAATAATATAAATAAGGACTTTGTAGTTGGTGAGCTCTGAAATATCTGTATGAATTTCGCCAGAGAAGAGTCATTGGGTCATATGTATGTACTGATACTCACTATCATTGGTATGCTTAAATTCATTGAAATAAAAAAATGATTGAAGTGGACATCTACAAAATAATTGTAACTATATAGACAATAATGTTGTTAACATCGTTCAGGAAAATGGGCTGTTTGCAATTGAAGCGTGTTCTTGTTAGTTGATCTTTACATAGTATTTGAAGAAAAATCAGTGGTTATAGAAATACGAAGAAAAGGAGTTTAATTCAGTCATGGGAAAACTGCGCCCGTGGTTCACCTGCCCACAGTTTGGCTTTCTGAATGCTGAAACTAATTAAATGAGGAAAATAAGGTTTATTAAAATGCTGTGTTATGGTTCATTCTCACTTGTTCACGCATATTTTCTCTCATGTCAAGAGGTTTTATTACAGGGAAATAACTATTAAATTCCTTCCTTATTAAAGCATGTTGTGTGTTGAATACAGATCGACTAAACGGCATACGTAATGATTAAGTACGATGTTTCTTGAATTGTGTAAATTTTCGTCGAAGGTTACGTTCTCAGCAATTTAAATGATTGATGGTTTTCATTAAGGAAGATCATACGTGAAAAATAGTTTGCTTTAGAAATGAAAAACATTTATATTCATTTTTTTCTCTGCTGAAGAAATATATTCGTTCTTTTTGTATTTTTAAATGAATAAATTAGAAACAAACACGTACAGTAGGTGTTAATCTCAGTGGTTTCAGAGATAATATTATATGAAATCTTCAATTCTTAAATTTTAGAAAAAATATTTTCTCCAAATAAAAAAGATCAGTCTTTTCCTACATAGTAGATACTTACACGTATGGGCTTCTGTAGTGAAAATCGGCGCTTTACTTTCAACAAAAAAATAATTTGAATTTTTTATTCTGATGAGCGATGTCTGTTGCGTCCCACTGTTGGTAAAGTTTCCCTATGTTGGTTTAATTGTTCCGGGCAAAAAATAATTCGTTCATATTGTAAATATACCTGTTTCAACGGGGAACTGGGAAAGCAAGATGTTGAGTGCTGTCCCCATGAAAATTGCGATGTTCAGGTGGTGTAATGGAAAATGAGAAATACCAAAACAACCTAAATTAAATTTTTTTTTTAATAAGTTATTGATAAGTGCATTAAAGTGAGTTAGTTTCGTTACGTAAACATAAACTCTGGACTTATGCTCAGTTTACATCGACTGAACAAATCTGCCACCATTGTGTTTCAATTCTTGTCTGCGCCGCCTGAACAAAAACTAGGAAATACACGGTTAAGGTGAAATATCGCCACGACGAGAACAGAAAACAATAATCTGTTTTTCATTTTATGAGGTTATTTCTTCACAGATTCGTCTGAAATGGGCTGAGGTTAAGATAGCTGATATATGGAACCTCTCCGTTACAACTTCTGTTTTCTCTCACGATAGATTAAAGGGCTAGTTCTTATCACCCGTTTACGGATCCTTTGCCAATCGTACCCCCCTCCCCCCAAAAAAGGAGTATTACTGACATATGAATAAAAATCGGGGTTGAACTGCCACTACCTCTATACCTCAACTGCGGCTGCTACTCACTTCGACAGTCTCCGAGCAAGGACTCGTCATCTGCTAACTGCCTTTCTAAATGTGAACGGCCTGGCTCGGAAAGTATTTAGTTCAAATATCATTCAGGCTATATAAGTCTACGACCGGAGCACTGCTGTCCTCTTGGTTATTCTTTTCTCTTCCCGCTCATTATTAATGTTTCTGTTCTATTTATATATTTACTTTACTTCTTTCTCGTACTTGTGGACGCTTTAGCGACCATATATATAGACATGGCTTTTGATCATAAAGCATCTGAACTTTCCGTCTCAGTGAAAATCATTTACAACCCACTTCATTTCATGGCTTTTTCTGATTAGAGTAATTTTTAAAAGAATCTCTAATGGGTATGTTTTTGTTTATGTAACGATAAAATATTTCGATATTGGAAATGCAAATTAGAAAAGGGATATTTGCATAATGATCTAATACCTTTCAAACAAATAAATGAATGGAAAAAAATGGATAGAAGTTTGGTGGAACATTGTCAACGGTTAAAATGTTATCCTAATAAATACAATTTTCCGAAATTTTAACAAAATATTGTATTACGAGAAAGATTCTGTTTAGCCTGAGATTACGGCCATTGTCATACCGTGATAATGTTGTGCTATAGTAAAGTTACTAACAATGAAAACTACTATCTCTGTTGTTATCACTCTCCTACCACTTTACTACCACATAGTACAATGTGTATCATGTGTATCATAGCAGAATATGTATCATGTATAATGTGTATCAAATGATACAATTACTGGAGTCATGAGAACTATATTCCGTATTCTAAGTATCAAGCTATGGTATAACTCCGCGAAAAGGCTCACAGAATCAACGCTTTAAGACCTTTTACTAAATTCCCACCCAATACATGGCACAAGGATACCTCAAGGCAGAGAGTTAATGAATGACGTTGTGGTATGGAAGGATACATAGCATAAATAATAGTTGGCTCTAGACTTGAAATGGTTAAGAATGTCGTGATCAGAAAGCCTCCACAAACAGCGGTTCTCACGAAGAATCTGTGCGAATGAAAATTCCTCCTTGTTTGTGGAATGCAAAAGGAATTAGGATAATTTGAACCTGGATACGTGACATGACGGGTCTTAGGAGTAAAGGTCTGAGCCAGTGGAACTAAAGAATATAGCTTTGTACATTTGCCATAGAAATAGCGATAGGTTTAAGATGTTTCGTTTGTGGGAGAGGCGTTCTTGGGTTGGAAATAATTAATCCCGCTTAAAGACGTATAAACGCTTTTGAACGCTATCAATGGCGGAAAGTGGGGATTTGGTAGCTCCAGCCCAGTACTACATTTCAATTTTGGCCTGATCCGAATCTTGAAAAAATACAACAGAAATTTCTGTTGGGCTACGTAGTGGTTCTAATGACAGAAATGTGTGTTCGTCGGTGTTTTTAATCGGGCACAGCAGATAGACCAATTTACCGACCAATAAGAAGGGTCTTCGTGCACTTACCACTGAGGTGTTTCAAATTGTTATATGAGGAATGATTTTCACAATTCCTATTGAGGAGACAGGGCGAACTTTATGAGATAATGTATAAAAAACGATTTTGTATTAAAAAAATCATTAGCGGAAATCAGCAATTAATATTTTCTTCAGAAGAAGATCTAAAGTTAACCATTAAGAATGGCGTTATTATAATGACATATTCTGTAGAAGCATTTATTGGAAAAAAAACTAAATGCCCATTTTGATTAGTGAAGCTAATGTTATTAAATACATGCAGAATCGTAACTCTATCTCGTTGATTATCTCGGCTTTGCATCTTGTTTGGGAATCTCATTTTATCTTTTGCCAGTGAGCTTTACAAATGGTGTTTTATACTACATGTCTACTCATGGTGCAACCAAAGGTCGCAGCTAGAGGTCTATTTGAAAAGCTCCTCATTCCACTAAGAGTGACGTATTTTATTGTCGGTTTCGGTTTGTGATAGTTCTCCACTGTAGTCGGCTTAAAAATCAAATGAATTTTTGCATTTACGCTTCTAATAAATTTAGCTTATTTAATTGTAGTAAATATAATAGTTGTTTAATTTTTTTGAACTTACTATGTAACTTTTATTCTATTGTTAAAACAAATTTTATT